AGCCCCGGTTAAGCCGCAAACCGGTTAATCCGCCCCCGGATAATCGAGAGTTGACTGTATATAAGTATATAGCTCAACATGTCACAATATGTTAGTAAATCACCCACTGTCATCTGAACATGTGACAAAGAAGGGTATAGCAAGATGTGTGGGTTGTGATGTGTGTGTATGTTTGTTTTGTTGCTGTCATGTTAGTCTTCTTGCTACAGGATTATTGCATATTGCTTTGCAGGTGTGTCTACAAAAGCTTTGCAAGGAGCGAAATCCATAGGGAATTTTCTGTTTTCTGCTGTGAACAAGGCTGGGAAGACAGTCAGCGAAGCAAGTGCTAAAATCAAGAAGACTGTTGAGGAGAATGTAAGTACCCACATTTGCATTGTTTTATCTGCTACCTTCTGAAGTGGGACACAGGGAGGATTCATTCAAGTAATTTTATTCTTTGAAGTGGGAAGTCAGAAGGATAGTTCCCTATCACAATGAGAAGATATTTCACTGTTTATTCTACAGCAGCATTTTTCAAGCATTTGATCCCTGCTACTCACCTGAGCAACCCTCCCTGACTCTGCACGTCATCTTATGATATTATTTCGAATATAAGGTGCCCTCAAATTTAAGATGCATCCAAGTTCTGAATGTGGCTTTTAGGAAGAAATTAGGAAGGCTCACATTCTTCAAATTTAAGACGCACCTCAATTATTTAACTGAAAAATATGTATAAAATGTGCATCTTATATTGAAAGTAATACAGAATTTACTGCACCCACCTGCTTCTAGTGTCTACACTTAATAGTAGTAGTTAGTTGGTTATGTATTTTAATCTTCTCTAATATATGTGGTTTTGCTTATTTGAGAATCACCTGATTCATTTTTTTGTGTTAATCTTAGAATTATTTTCAACGTATCTGTACATGAACGTTTTATGAAATATGAAATAACATTATAAATGAACATAGTGTAGTGTGTAGAACCATTGCTAGGTAATGACCTCGAAACAAACAGTGAAACAACATTTGCGGCTAGGCAGCAGATTTCTTAATGAGCAAGTATATGCAGCTGATACTGGGTAATGCCTCCAGAAACAAAATGTTACCATGGAAACGATTTGAGTACAACAATGAATGGTGTTTTCTTCACGGTCCATGCCGAGATGTTATAACCAAGACAAGTATAGAAGTTAGTTGTGAAAGAGTTGTAACAGAGTCAGTTGGCAGCCTGTGAAGGGAAGACTTGGTCGGTACTGTTGAATCCCCAGTATTAGAGGCCTTTACCAGAGAACGACTGGGAAAAACAGCAGACTGGAAGTATTTAGCATGTACTGTGGTGATTTGTAAAGTGTGGAAATTAGCGATAGTGTTAGTTATTTGTAGTTACAACCTGTAAGTGATCAGTAAATCCATTCTTCAATCCTAAACCCCGTTGAGAGTCACTCTAACATGTGCCAGTAGTAACAGATAGAGCACCACTTTGAAATTTAAAAGAAAGGAAACACTGACCGAAAAACTGAGTTTAGTGGAAACCTCCACAGACCATGTACTAAACTTCATGAACTGCAAAAAGTCTAACTAGGCAGCTCAGTATGGTGATAATAATGGAGACTTTTATTTGGGATGTGCTCAGCATCAATCTTGGCTGGGACACTCGCCATCCTGGCTGAGAATGTATTGTGGTTTTCCTCAGTCCTTCCAGGCAAATGTTGAAAATAGTGCTGAGAATAAGCCAGGTACTGCTGATTCCTTCCAAATCCTTTCTATGTCATCAGTCATCCTACCATTCAATGCTGTGTTGTGTGAATAGAGACATCATCAAATAAATGACAGATGGTGTGCACAGTCTTAGTTGGGAAACATGTCTGTAGGGAGATAAATTTGGATATTGAAAGCATACGCCTTTTATGGTTATGAATATGTTAAAGAGTTGAATGTGCAGCTGAAAATGGAGAAACAAGAAACTTATTCAGAATTTTGATTTTGAAACTACTTTGATAAGATCTATATCATGTCTGTCCCCTTTCAGCTTTTGAACTAGTTGATTGATTTTCACAAAACTTGGTTGAATGTTATGCTACTAGAGGACATCACAGTTCTGCACTGAGGCATTCTCTGCAATCAGTAATAACAACATGGAGCATACCCAAACTTATGAGGTGGAGCAACATTTAATGTAGGGTTTTTAAAATTGTGTATATCAAATAGATGCTTAAAAAATGTGCAGCCTTTGTTAAAATAAATAAATGTATTTAAATTAATTAAAATGAGGTAGGAACTGATTTTTTAAGTATTATGTTGATGAGCTTTCACTTCCTAATGCTTTACCTTTTACATTTCCCAACACTTAACCCTCTCTGTCTTCATCAGCAGGACTAGCAGGTACTGCTTTGGAGCCTTCAAAGTAAAAAAAGAATCTGTTCCCTGCCTTCAGCTATAGTCTGTCTCACTGCTCCCCCTCCAATTTCTCTTTTTCTCAGGATTCGAAGGTTATATAAAAATACAGTGTCAGGTGGTAGGAAAGATTGTGAGTTGAGTATTTATGTGGATGGACTGAGAAAAAATCGTGGACATCCTCAGTCAGGATATCTGGCTACCCAACTGATAATCGAACCCCGCCCCCAAATACTGAGCAGTAATGCTAACCACTACCACAGTGTTTGCTGGGTTGTTGTTTGTCCATTATGATACAAATTATCAAGGATTGTTGTCTTGTAGATGTTGCAACACTGTATAAGATAAAGCAGTGTCAAGGTTGTGTTTGTTATTCTGTAAACAGGGAACTGTGTAAGACAGGCTGCATAACATATTCCCTGTCTGTAACAGCTGGTATCATTATTGATCCAGCAAGCTGTGACACCCAAATATGGGTGAGGAGGGGGAGCTTACCGGTGGTGTCGGGTGAAGGAACAGTTTGTATGACATTTAGAATTGATTGTGCAAAAGAAACTCGTGTATAATCTCAGAAATATATCAGTGGAGTTCTTCACATGAGGCGCATTAGCACTAAGTGGATTGCATTCCTTCATATTTGGTAGGTCATGGTGTCTTCACTGAAACTTTTCATAGAAACATCCTTGCAAGATTCGGCTTCTGTGGTTAATGTGAAAACCTGACTGATCAAAAATTCATCTAAGTCATATGTGCTGCTGGGTTACATAGTTTAATATGGTAGTGAGGCGTTTGTCACTAGTTAGATATTTGGTTTAATTGAGGGAGTTAAAGAAGGAAATTTGTTTACAGAAAGACTAAAATATGAAGCCTTTCACTTAAGAGAAAACGTATTACATATGAAGAAAGCAGTAAGCATATAAGTTGTTGGGTTTTCATGACACTGTTTATTCAGTTTGGGCTCTTCTGTGTTCCTTTTCTGTTGCAGTTTATTTTATTATGCTCTCAGTGATCATATAGCTATAAGTGATAGGATGATTGGTGAATAATGAACTAAAACAGATTAGGAAGAAAGTGATCTGGCTTAATTGAGGTAGTGTTCCAACATTTGCCCAGAGGGACTAAGGAAAACAACGAAAACCACAGTGACTGTAACCTGTGTCCAGCCGAGACCTCAAAGAAGCATCTCCATTATAAAATTATGGATCATCGTGTCTACAAGAAGCAGCTTGGTCTCCTGTACTGTTATACACAAAAATTTGCAGCTGAGTTTAGTACAGATACCAGGTAGAGTGATATTTGAACCTGGAAAAAGACATTTATTTCTCAACATATCCTCCACCGACATCGATACACTTGTCCAATCGGTTTATCAGTACATTGAAACCTGCAGCATAGAAGTCTTTTGACTTCTGTTTCAACCTCTTTATCATCAACAAAACGTTTGCCACCAAGGTGGAAGCACTTTACTCCACAAACACTTCTCACCCTAAACGGGAAACATTTCTTTATGAATATCCTTTGCATTGAGTCCTTTTGCCCACAGAAAACGCACAACATAACGATTCTCTTCGGTAGTAAGCCCCGCAAGCGTGGTCGCCATTTTGACTACCGAAACAAGTCTCTGAACATGGGCATATGCGTTTGCTACCTAGAGCATCATGAAGCTGAACTGTGCTGCTATCTAATGATACACATAGAAAACCTATTACATCCATTACAGCCGTTTTACTACCATTTGTGACCTATTTACTGACTCTCCCTTTCAAATACAAAACTCAGTCTAATTGAGGACCAGCTTTTTTACGGTGCTACATTTGCCACCAGTGTATGTTCTGTTTTTCTTTGCTTCCTTGCCACTGCTTTACTTCCACATCACATTACATGCGATTGGTTCATGTCTTAGCTGCCAGTTCTAGTGAAAAGCTCTACAACGTATTAAGTTATGTTAGAACTCCATTCCCCCACTTCATCTGTACTTGGCAGCCCCTCTGACATTTCCACTTGCTGTGCGTAGGTTCCATCAAAAGCCTTTTCTTAATGCACAGACACGAAGCTGCTACAGGAAACAATTGGAAGCAGAGCCCTTAAGCCATTAACTATGCACAGGGCTGCGTTCCTATAGTTCAGCTCCTCTCCACGATTGCCTTTATGGAAAGGAAAGAATTCTTCTAGCGCTGTTTGCATTATGTTTCTGTAGCTTATTTAACGATTCTTTATGTAACGTCGATGGTTAGGATGGTTGCAGAATAATGAATTGAAAGAGATGTAAGAGGAAGCTGTCGTGTGTAGGACCGAGGAAAGCCACGAAACATCTCAGTATAGTCGGTGGCCAGACCGACATTCGAACGGGTTACCCAGAGGCGTTACTGCTTAAGTGAACTGGTTTGCCTGCAAGTGAGGTTAGGAGACAGTGGTGTACTGTTTTGCGTGATACGCATAAAAAGTACGTATATACATGGGAGATCACGTCTGCCTGTCCGCAAGTTTCAGTTGGATAACGCGAAACAGATTTTGGTCAGATTTGATATGAACATTACACGTATGTCATTGAGACACGCGGTTGAGGCAATACGTTACAAGCCGGAAAGTCGCGGATTCGGTTCAAGATGAGTTGGATTTTTTTAATTTACGCAATCCTTCTAGCCGCACTATGGTCCTGGGGTCAACTAAGCCTCTAACAGAATGAGTACCCGGAATCTTCCCGAGGGTAAGGAGCGGCCGGCGCGTAAGGCTGGCAACCTCACCGCCATCTATGAGTGGATTTTCAATAAATTGCAGGAGCCTCGACGTCTGACAACTCTACGGGCCCCTACGGCCTGTTGCAGGGATATGTTTACCTTTTTTTAATATGCCTTTGGACTCCGCTCCAAACTGGTAATTTTAATTTCTTAACAACGCACTGCGAGTGCATGAACTTTTAACTGACAATAGAACAAATTCTAAATCAACCACAGTAAGCAGTAGTAGCTATAATAACTA